CATCATGTGGTTTGGAGCCTCTGTGCCTTTGCTATGCTATTCCTTTTGTCTGAATGCCCTTTCTTGCATTGTCTGCCTACTCACCCTTCAAAATATGCCACCAATGGGGTCATTTCCTTTGTGAATCCTTTTCCTTCCTGCGTTCCTCACCCCCTCCACTCATGGAATTAATCACTCACTCTTTGGAAGCAGTTCTGAAGCTCCTACATATTTATTATTTCTTTTTAAAATTTTTTCAAATGTTGATTTATTTGAGAGAGAGAGAGAGAGTGCAAAGGAGGGGAAGAGAGAGAGGGAGACACAGAATCTGAATTAGGCTCCAGGCTCTGAGTTGTCATCACAGAGCCCAACACAGGCTTGAACCCACAAAACATGAGATCATGACCTGAGCCAAAGTTGGATGCTTAACCAACTGAGCCACCTAGGCACCCCATACAGATCTTGATTATGGGCAGAAACTTAACAGTTCAGGCTCACAGTTTTCCTCTCTGCAACACAGGGATTAATACTCTTTTCTTTGCCTTATCAGAATCATCCCAAGTACCAATGAGATAGTATGTGTGAAATGTCTTTGAAATTTTGACATTTTGAAGGCAGAAGGTGCTTCTGTAATCAGGTCTATCAGTGTCACACTTAGCTTCCTTTTTCACAAATATGTCTCTTTTCTACTAATAGGGTGTTTTCTTTCTAATAGGGTGTTTTACTATTCCAGGACCCCAAGACCTAGCAGAGAGGGCATAGTGTGGTATGCTGCATGCTAACAGTAGACATCATTGCTCAACCACAGCACTATTGCCTGGGCTTTGGATGCTTCTGAAAGATGAGGGAGCATAAGGCAGTCTGAAGGCAAAGTACAAGCTAGTATACACCCCCCCCCAACCCCCACCCCAGGTGGGATCTGTGTGATATTCCTCAGGCACTCCCTGCTGCCCAGAAACAAAAGAAAGGAGAGAAAACAAATGGTTAACCGATAGAGACCACAGTCATAAAGGACAGGAGTCTCCATCAGTTTACAAATATATTAGTAAATTACGAGAAAAAGGCAATCTTATCAATAGTTTAATCTCCAGAAACCTATAGACTTAGTTTCCTGGATCCCCAACATCATCTTCCCCTCCGTAGTGATGTGGGGGAACAAAGGTAAGAAGAAAATGGCAGGTAAAATTAAGTTTCCTTATAACCTGCAGCCCTTTGACAAACAGTTGAGGCTGGCAGAGTATAACATTTCTCTAGGAACTCCCTATTGTCTTTCCGTCAATGCTTTGCTAGAGGGAAAAACAACCTTAGCTCGACAATAGCTAGGCCTCCAGTACCCTGGGAGCCTTCTTTAGCAGATGAAAATCTCTTTGGAAACTTCCCTTTTGCCTTTACCTCCCCAGCAACATAGTATGTAACAAGCCATTCTTCACAACCCCAGTGCAGCTCTTTCTACCCATGGTTCCTGTCCCTGTGCTTTAATAAAATCACCTTTTTGCACCAAAGATGTCTTCAAGAATTCTTTCTTGTCCGTCAGCTCTGAACCCCATCGTCACCCCAAAACCTCATCATGAATACACTATTCTGTGTGGGGCACAGCATTTCAAATTCTCTGCTGTAAAGAGCCAGATTTTTCTCTTTAATTCCCAACAGATAGCAGACTGGAATGCAGTCCTACCGCTCATGACTGGTACCCAGCTCATGGGCATGAGACTCAGCATGCGGGTTTGATAACAACCCCTCCCCCCCGCCCACTTCCTGCTCAGGGAAACAAGTTCACTGATCACACACTGATATGCTGTGGCAACATTGAGTTGCCATATGAGCACCTGAATGCTTGTTTTCTACTTCTGCATTTAAACTGATCTTTGAAGGCACCTCCCTAGGCGGCAGGTCTCATTTAACGTGGGTTAGCTCGTGAGATGAGCTCCCTTTGCCACTCCTGACCCTGACTCTTCTATCGAATGTGACAGACAGCACCAACCTCGCAGGCTTCTTAAGAGAACCGAATGAGATGTGTGAGAAAGCTGTTTGTAAACTCTGCCATGTTATCCAAGCATTAGGTTATTACTGTGATCCCCATATCCATCACTTAGTCTTTGAAAATTATATAAAAATACCTGTAAAAGCTTTGCCCAGCAAATGCAGCGTGTTTTCTCATTATTATGGTTTTCTCTTTGTTTTCCTAGACCGATAGGTTCATAGTTTTGTTGTTGTTTGGTTCTTATTTGCCAGCATTTCGGCCCTATTGTGGGAGAAGGTTAAAACGCCACTCAGTCTGTCTGAGGCTTTCAGCAGGGCCTCAAAGCCTTAGAGCAGCACAGTAGGTGCCAAGTACCCCCACCCTCTTAGCAGCACTTGCTGAGAGATTGGAAAACCAGTTGTGCAAGCCACAGCCCTTCACCCACCTCCAGGCTCAAGGGTGGAGGGAGGGGCTGGTGCAGGAGGGTGCCTTTGACAGAGTTGTCAGGGTGCTGTGGTCCACCCTCTGTCCCCTGGGCGGGGGATAGAGAGGGCTTCTAGTTACTCTAGCCAAGTGGGAAGGCTGTGATCCACACACCCTCCCCCCCCCCCGCCATCAGAGAGTCCAGCGTGAGCCCCCTGGCATCTGGGGCCCACAGAAAGGTGTGTTAGCATCGTCGAGAGATTCCAAAGAGGAGTAGCCATGACTGATGCTGGATTTGTCTGATTATAAAGAGCAAAGTTGGTGAGTGTGCTCTAGGGACCAGATGGGGACTTGGTGAAGGGACCAAAGAAGACATTCTGGGGGAACAGTGTGATCCCATGGGAAGGGTGAGCCAGCAGATGTCCAGAGCTTGAAGAGAGAGGTCTGGCCTGTACTGAGAAACTGAGAAAGCTGTTCTCAGTGGTATGGTGTGTGTGTGCGTGTGTGTGTGTGTGTGTGTGTGTGTGGTATATGTGTAGTATTTATGGTATGTGTGAGCGGTGTGTATGTGTTGGTGTGTGTGTGTGGTGTGCACATGTGTGATGTGTGGTGAATCTGCAAGGACCCTGCAACAGTGCCTACGAGGGCAAAGCCCAGCAAATGTGTGCCTTATACCTTCCATCCGGAAGGACCAGCCCACATGACAACTTGTCAGTGGGGAGGACGTTTCCCTCTTCCCCTAATCTGCTCACCCTTCTGGCCCTGCCTGGAAAGGCAGAGAGCGGCTGTCCAGGCTGAAACAAGATGGCGCTGGGTAAGGAATTTACAGTGTCTTCGGTATTGTACTTTACTCTAGCGAAATTAGGCAATGAGGCCATTGGACCCCACATTCTGATACCGAAACCAAGGGATTGTTTGTTTATTATAAAAAAAAAATTTAAAAACCAAAAATCTTACTGAGATTTCATCCAGGAACGAGTGGAAGAAAAAGCTGGGTTTGAAGGAGCAGAAGGAGAAAGACTTACATTGACCTTTTCACCCTCTATCAAGTTAAGCTCATTCAATAAACGGGGTTCATTTTCTGTTATTTTAGCTCCTCTTCCCAATTTTTGCAGCCACAGGGAGTATCATGAGTGGAAGACATATAATGTCAGCTGCAGAGCCAGAAAACTAGTAAAGCCCGACATGAAAGATGGTCTTCCACACTTGTCACGTGTTAAGAGAATGCCTTTGTGGAGACCCGATCAACTCTGACGACCAAGGTAGTTAGGGTTGTTCTCCCTCATAGGTAACGCCCCTGCCTTAATAATAAACACGTGCAGCCACACCACTACCTCCTCCATCACATTTACCATCACCTCCACCTCTACCATCACCTCCATTTCCTCCACCACCACCTCCACCATCACCTCCACCTCCGCCATAACCATCTTTCTCCACCATCACTTCCATCGCCTTCACCACCACCTCCACCTCCACTACCACCACCTCCATCTCCTCTACTTCCACCATCACCCCACTTCCACTACCATCGCCTACACCTCTATCACCTTCACTCCAACCCCATCGCCATCTTTCCCCACCACCGTCTCCAAAACCTTTACCACACCTCCACCACCACCACCACCATCACTTCCACCACCATCACCATCACCACCTTTCCCCACCATCACCTTCATCACCTCTGTCAGCACCTCCACATCCGCTTCCATCAGCTCCACCTCCTCCGCCACCACGTCTATCACCCCCCCCATCAGCTCTCCCATCACCCTCACCACCGCTGCCTCCAGCATTGCCACTAGCACCACCATCACCATCTCGATCATCACCACAATTATCGCCATCACTACTGCTGCCACTGCTGCCACCACCTCCACCACCACTCTCACCCCTGCTGCCACCACTATGATCTCAGTTACCACCGGAATCACTATCGCCACCACCACCATTTCTGCCATGGCCGCTGGCACCATCGCTCCTGCCACTATTTATGACATATTAGGATGCACCAAACAGTGCTAAATACTGCATGTGCAGTCTCTTACTTAACCCTCACAGCTGTCTTTGTAAATAAAGACTACTGTTATCTTTGCTTTAAAAAGGAAGAAACAGAGGCTTAGAGAGGTTAAGTAACTTGTCCAAGGTGATAGAGCTTCATTGGAATTCGACTTTTGCTTGAGAAAAAAAAATCATAGAAATTCTGTTCTTGGAAGAATCTTCATTTCAGGAGCATCTTTCATGAAGTTTCTAAAACTAAGACATTCCCCCTTCTCTTGGTTTATCCCATTTAAAGATACTCTTGAGAGAGCTTTACTTAGCAGAGAAAATACACATCAAACACCAAATTTCTAGAATACATTTCAAGGCTAAAAATCTCTCCAAATCCTAATCTCAAAATGCTTAAGAATGTTTTCAAGCACTTGTTGACAGTGAAAAGGGCATCCAATCGAGGGGGAGTGAGGGGTGAAACTATGCTTTTCCGGGGAGGGAGGGGGCTCTGTGGCTCCTGGTGGTTGCTCTATTATTAATTTCCTGAACCATTTATTTGTTCCCTAATGAGAGTGGTTTTGCACTTCTTGGCTAAATCACTACATCAAAGAGGTAAGTGTTTTTGGAAACCCTTATGATTATTTAATGGGGAAGAAAATTATCCCCAGTCTCAGTGCCATCTTCAAGCCTCCTTTCTGGTCTCTTGCTCTCTGATTACTTCCTCTTCTGTACCAACATCATCCTTTCCAATCCCCAGACATACCCTGAAGGTTGTTTAGCTTTCTTTTTCCTACCTCCATGTGCTCTTGATTAATATTTAAGGAGTCACCCCACCCAGCAGCAAGAGAACCTGAAATTTAAGTTGGTTTTATTTTGTTCTTTTCTAACTGGCATCTGTATTCTCTTGCCTAGTCTGCCATGTGAACAAGGCATGCCTATAGTGAGGAATAATGAAAATAACATTATCAGCTAGGTTTAGAGGTATAATTTGTATATGCAGGGTTTGATGACCTTGTCTAGAAGACAGAGGTATTAGAAAGCATAACTTTGGGGCGCCTGGGTGGCGCAGTCGGTTAAGCGTCCGACTTCAGCCAGGTCACGATCTCGCGGTCCGTGAGTTCCAGCCCCGCGTCAGGCTCTGGGCTGATGGCTCAGAGCCTGGAGCCTGTTTCCGATTCTGTGTCTCCCTCTCTCTCTGCCACTCCCCCGTTCATGCTCTGTCTCTCTCTGTCCCAAAAATGAATAAACGTTGAAAAAAAAAAAATTAAAAAAAAAAAAAAAGAAAGCATAACTTTGCATCAGAAGCAACAGGGGCTGAAGGGTGAACTCCAGGATGGAATATTCACTTCTGCTGCATATGAAGCGTGATGCTTTATCTAGAGGGAAAGCACTTGTATAATTACCTAAGTTAAAAGCTGGAATAACCAATTTTACTTGAAACAATGACAGATAAGCTCTGGTTGTTCAGACTTGGGTATTTGGAAAATAGTTTTCTAAAAATATATGAAGTGAACCCATTACATTAAATAGAACAACTGAATTTTACCAATAATGAAATTCAAGGTTTCCGGTGAAAATTAGACCTTCAGATTGCCATTGTGAGCTTGACAGCTTTCTGGTAATGACTTTTTTGATGAAATTGACAGTGATATTAATATACATAATTTTTGCATGTTGTATAATGAACTAGAACAGAGGATCAGCATAACTCAGTGAACTGATATTTTCCAAATGATCATGGCACCATGTTACAAAGACATGCATGAGTTGAAGGACAAAGGACAAAGCACAAAATAAACTGATAGATTTTAATGTAACAGTATGTGAAAAAAAGTTAATCCATAATGTTTCAGATTCTACATGGCAGCTAATATTTAAGAAATTGCCACTTGTTGAGTGTTGGTGTAGTAGTAAAGAAGAATAGCCATAATTATTGGAAAAGGCTATTAAAATCTCTCCCAACTACACAGCTGGGTGGTGCCAGATCTTCTTCACAGACTTCAAACAAACCAACATATTGTGGCAGATTGCAGGTATCAGAATTCTGCTAATTGTCCTCTTTAAGCTAGACCTTAAAGAGATTTTTTTTAAGTTTATTTATTTTGAGAGAGAGAAAGCACAAGTGGGGGAGGGGCAGAGAAAGAGGGAGAAAGAGAATCCCAAGCAGGTTCCACGCTCAGTGCAGAGTGCTATGCAGGGCTTGATCTCAGTACTGTGAGATCACGACCTGAACTGATATCAACAGTTGAATGATTACCTGACTGAGCCACCCAGGCACCCCTAAAGAGATTTTTTTAATTGCAAAATAATGTCATTCTTCTAACTAAATACTTGTTTGGGCTTTGGAAATATAACATTTTTCATAAAAATGTGGTATTTTTATTAACATGTAATGAGTTTGTTATTTTATTAAAAAACTTTTTTAATGTTTATTTATTTTTGAGAGAGACAGAGTGCAAGTTGGGGAGGGGCAGTGAGAGAGAGAGAGACATAGAATCTGCAGCAGGGTCCAGGCTCTGAGCTGTCAGCACAGAGCCCATGGGGGGCTCAAACTCACAAACCACGAGATTATGACCTGAGTAGAAGTCAGATGCTTAACCAATTGAGCCACCCAGGTGCCTCAGTTTGTTATTTTAATAAATCATTAGGTTGACATTTTAAAAAGTTTTTCAGCTTTAATCCTTAGTTTATAAATACACATATGTATGTATGTATGTGTGGGTGTGTGTGTGTATATATATATATATATATATATATAATGTATATGTGAATATGTGTGTGTGCATATCAGATGAATGATAGCTTTTTGAGGTCCTAAATAAGTTTTAATAATGAAAGGATCCTGCAGCCAAAAATGTATGTTATATCTCATAAGGTTATGATAAAAGAAACTACTATGCATTTGTCTCCCTTTTTATTTATTTATTTAGATATGTATAAAAACATTGAAGATTTATCATGGGCCAAGTGCTATATTAAATCACATATGAGGAGATACAAAGAGAAATCTGACAACATCCTTGTGTCAAGGGAGTTACTGTTTGGTAGGATAAATAAACAAATATTAAATGACACAAAGAATTAATTTATTCTTTCAGCAAATATTTCTAAAATGTGCAAGATCCTGTGCTGAGAGTAAGGGTGGTGATGGTGAGTCTGATAGTCATATTCTGGAGCTTAGACTCTAACATGAATTAGTCAATTAGTTCTTTGGACAACATGTCGGGAGTTCTAGAAGAGTTGATTAGGGAAGTAGTTAATCAGTTATTAGCTGATGATCAGTTAAGCAGGGACGATGTCACAGATGTTGCACTGAGATCCCCAGGAAGAATAGGAATTATCCTGGAAGAGGGGAAGAGGGAAGGAGAAGAAGAGTGTTTCAAATAGAACAGACAGCATGTGAAACAGAACTGAGCAGGAAGACACTTTCTTTCTTCCTTGAGGCACTTATGATGAACAGATGTTCTTGGTTCATTCTCTACAAATATCAGCCAAAGAGATCCTTAATGTTTTACTGCCTTGGGCAAACATCTTGAGTCCTGTATAGAGCTTCAATGCCTTACTCTCTTGGGCAAATACTGTAATCCCGTATTGATCCTAAAGGCTTTACTGGACAAATACTTTCTTTAAATACATGTTCTCAGACCCCCTATACAAATAGCCTTTTGCTACTTGATGGCTTATGTCAGGGTTCACCTTTGCCTCCCTGGTAAGCATTACTATGTTTCTTCTTCCTTACCTGAGCATCACAAGGTCCTCTCCTTAACTGAATATAGGGCAAGTCTTAGAGGGACTCTCTGTTGTGTCCAGAACAGAAAGAAAGCTTGTCACTTTTATGTGTTAAGAAACTGGGCTGAGGATGTCCCTGACCCTTGGCAGGTAAGATGTCTCCTTCTTCCTTCCTGCAATGCAGTTTTTATAAAAGGTGAAGGAAGCCTCATTTTCAAATTCTCTGGGTTTTTTCCCCTCTGTAATACCAGACTGCAGAAATCCAGGGAAAGGATAGAACTGGAAGAGGATGATGAAAAAGGAGGTGGCCATATTGTTTGGAGTCCTGTAGATTTTGACAGACATTTTACATTTCATTTTAAAAGAAAGAGGGAAGGATTGAAGGATTTAAAGTTTGGAGTAATACATGGCCAAATTTATGTTTTCAAAATGATAAATTTGACTGGAGGAAGGCAAGAGTAGATGCAGAAGAACCTCTGGAACGTGTGGCAGTGCTCCGATGGAAAGACGACAGCTTCACCCAGTGGAGTGGCCATGAAGATGAAGCAAAGCAGGTAGATTGGAGAGACATTTTGTAAGAAGAAGCCGTAGGCCTGATTAACATATTGGGTGTATGCGGTATGATAGAGAGGAAGAGGGCAAGCCAGGTGCCTGGCTTCTGTAATGGTGGATGTGGCGATGACATTCACTGACACGGGAAACTGGAAGGGGGCTGGGCATAGAGCAGGGGCCCCGAGTTCTGACTTGCAAACGCTGACTTCAAGTTGCCAGTGACCGATCATGGTAGACATGCTAAATGAACACCTGTATGCATAGATTTAGAGTTCGGAAGAAAGGTCTGGAATGTGGATATACATTTGGCAGTGGTCTGTGTACAGATTATAACAGAAGCAATGGGAGTAGACAAGCTTGCCTAGGAAGAGCACTCAGACCGGGAAAGGAAGAGGCCTGGTAGAGCATTTAGAGTTAAGTCCCGAATGGAGGGGGAGCTGAAGGAGTTCATCTCTGGAGTCCAAACTGACACACTATTGCTCTCAAATGGGAAAGGCTTCTTAAAGAAAAAATACTTTTTTTTTTTTTAAAAGAGAAAAGCAATATATGACCACTGTAGGAATTTAGGGGAAGGAAAAAGCACAAGGGTCAATCATCATTGTATAGCTCAGAGATCATTAGTAATAAACATTTCATGTGCTTCTTTCTGGCCACTTAAAATATATTGTATATCATATGGTTTTTATATCAAAGAGATTATAGA